TCTGCCAGGCTGTGGATAGGCCCAGACATCTCCAAGCGTTGTCTGTAACACTTGGGAAACAGTAATGCTTACCTCCCGGGGCTGCTACGAGAACTACACAAGACGAGAGCCAGGAGGTCCGCAGCCCAGGGGCTGCCACTTAGCTGTCCTCAGCTGTTATCTTTACTGGATTTTTACTATTTGTAAAAGGAAAGGTTGTTTGTAATTTCCAAGAATGTAAAGTAACTCAGACTGGGTCTAAAAGTGTTTTCCAGTCAAGACCAAGTAGAATCTTCTTTAATGGATACAGAGAATTTATTTTAATCAGCTTATCATTTCCAACCAAATGTTTGCTTGATGAGGTACTTAAACCCAAACTTAAACCCTTCAACTTTTTCCAAAACATCGTTAATTCTAAATTAACAGGAGCCAAACTATACTTTCCAGGGTGATGTTTGTGTATGTGTGCATGTGTTGATGGAGATTAGATATCCATATGTATAGATACTGCATCACAGTACACACACACACACACACACACACACACACACACACACACATAAAATTCATAAATGAAAAAATAGTAAATTTGACAGTAATCCTTCCTCACCATCTGCAGAGGGTGAGATTCTTTTTTAGGTCACTAAATGCCATTCCTGTCACAGGTTAAACAGAATAAATAATTCCCTGAGGACATGAAAACAAGCTCACTTGCCACTCAGGGCCCTAAAATCAGAACCACCCCAACCTGAAGCCTGAAGGTTGCACAGACACCACGTCGTGAGGTCTGTGCGCTCCCTGCTCCACCCAGAAAGTTTCAGAGAGCATTACTGATGTTCGGTCCATGCTTTTGGGCTCACCCTGTGCTTGGTTACTAAATGAATTTAGGAGAAGGAAGAAACCTCAGCGATCTTTTCATCCCCGCCCCACCCTTTGTTTCAGAGGAGAAAATGTAAGTCAGAGCCAAGAGACTGCCCAACTCTGTCCTCAGCAGAGATGACAACAGACATTAAGTTGGGAGCCTTTTCCCACTAAACCACAGAAACTGGCAGGGTCAAAACCAATTTGATGATTAAGTAACTGGAGCACAGCTCGTGGGAGGAAGAGGCTGGCACGATCTAATCAGAACCTTGCGGACAGCCCCAAGGCAAGTGTTCAGGAGGGCTGATGGGAGGGACTGGGAGGAAGGTTGGTTAGTTATGGAAAGAATTTACCTTCTTTTGCAGGTTGTCCGTTTCTTCTGCAACACCTTCAAGCTTAATTCTTCCCAGGTCCTTTTGCATATTTTCTCTTAATAAAGATTCCTAGGAAGAATGGAGGAAATAAATTATAATGCTTCGCAGTAAAATGTTCTGATTCTTAACTAAGAAGCACTTGTTATTTCCTTTTTGTTCACAGAAAGAAATTCTTTCCTTGGAGCTGTCATTTAAAAAAAAAAAAAGATCACATTTACTTAGGTTTCGATTATAGCGACATGATTCCATACAGCTATCCTTTGCATTATATTTCTGATATAGATATAAATTTAAAATCCAGTGTGATAAGCAGAATCTGATACTGCTGCAATTCTCAGATAAAATTATGGCTTTATCTCAATAGCAGAGTCACACAAATTTAATTATAATTGCAACACCTA